TGGTCTCAAACCTGTGAGCTCAGGCAATACACCCGCCTTGGCGGCCTCCCAGAGTGCTAGGATTATAGGTGTGAGCGACCACACCCAGCGATCAAATTACTTAAATTGTTTTACAATCATGCTCTCAAGAGCTCTGATTACTAAATTTTATTTGCAATAAGATAGGGAAAAGTCAATTTTATTTTAATATGTTGCTGGAAAATATGATAAACATTCTAAAACATGGCCCAGGAGTTGAGGCTTCAAAAAATATAATAAGTTGAATTCATAATAGAATCTTCACAGTTTGATATCATTAACATTGCCAGGCACTAATGTTATGTAAGTCAAATGTCAACAGAAACACACTGCACAGCAAGTAAAATTACCTTTAGTACTCTTATTCTAAAACCCAAGAGACCAACCATATGGATAACTATGTGTATATAAATACTTATAGACACAGATGAAGTATCAAATTAGTATGACCATTTCAAGTCCAAATGTAATCAAAGTGAGAAATGTACTAGTTATTCCATGGCTTCTGAGTCATCAAATGTCGTTATTTTTTTACACTTAGAATCTATAAAATATAGGAAAAAGTTTATAAGTCTCATTACCTTATTAAGAAAAGGGGGAAAAGATTTTTACCTTATAGATTTTAGCTTTCACAAGAAAGAGTTCTATCAATGTAGGTGTACTTTCAATAGCAGTATTTATGTATTCCAGAGCAATAGATGGCTGGCCAATTTTGTCATAATGTTGTGCCAAATAGTACTGGACCCAAAGTAATGTGGTCGGTGGTTCCTCCTTTCCATCATCTTTAAAAAGCAGGAGAGGAAGGAGAAAGAGAGAAGAAACCAAATTAGGCATTACATAATGGGAGTATCCCCCCAAATGGTCCTTATATTAATAAAGAAAAGTATTTTATTCACATATATAGCTATAAAACTGTAAGATCTTTGGAAGTGACCACATTTTCTACTCTATATTTTTATAGGCTCTAGCACAATGCCTTGCATATAGTAAGACTTTATATAACATATGGCAGACAAATAAGAACAAAGATATCAACTACCTAAAAAGAAAAATAAAGGGCATTAGAGGAAGACAAACTGTACTAGAATTGGGAGAGTATACTGATCAGAATATCATTTACAAGGAAAAAAAAAATTTTCCACTAATGTAAAGTTAAAAATAATAAAAGCTCTGACTGCTTAATTGAGTTTCTAGCTACTACAATAAACTATATAAATATATTCATGATGTGGTTATTTTATACTTTGGTGACTGGATTAGATTTTAGTATTATGCTGAAGATGCAAAAATGTACAATTTATGTTGAATTAAAACTATACTCAAAAAATGTGATGACAAGTAAAAAATCTTTATTCTATATTTTATTTCATGATTTAATTTTAATATATTCACGAGAAAATGTGCAAGTATACAACCTACACATTAAAAAATTCTTCTTTAATACAAATTTCTAAAGTCTGAGGACTGTTATTTGCTTTCAAAGAAAGCAATGGATTGCTTTTTTCTAGTAAAAGCAGGATTGCTCAGTGGACAAACAACAGGAGTGGAACTCACCAACTCCCCATCTGATAGATCTGCAACAAAAGTGCTGCATATTCTTGGGCATGTCATTGAACCTCTTCCACATTTGTAAAATATGTAGGAAAATGCTGATAATCAAAGGAACATCATGATGATTAACCAATGAAACCATGTAAGGCTTTTTTTAAAATACTATTAAAATTAACCTGAGATCTAGAAACAATGACCAACCCAAAAGCACCGAGCACCCCGGGTCCCACACTGGGTTCTCCCATAATAGGAAACAGAACTTCTTGGAAAAATAACTGATTCCAGATCTACAATGGCAGCATACAAAATAAACTGTAATATCTTGACTCAGTAAACAGTTAAGGGCTCTATCAACTGCTACCACGGTATGTAAAGAATGGAACCATATGAGATTTAAAACATCAAATGCTTATTAAATCCATGAATTCAAAATACTTTCTAAAATGTATTTGTCATCTTATAGAATACTACTAAACCAATTCATTATTTTGAAAACTGTTTTAAAAAATTAAAAAAGTAGGAAATAGAAAAACCACATTTATAAATCATGTTTTCCCTATACAAATGGAAATACTGGGTAAGCAGAGAACAGATTAAGGGAAATTTCTCTTTTAAAATAATAAGGAATGATAGAATTATCACCAGTTGGTAATTTCTAACCATTGCTAACATATAAAACAAGTATTACATATGCCTGCTGACACAGGAATACACCACCGTTTGCAAAATACTCTTGCTCACTTCTCTAATGCTTACACACACACACACACACACTACATATGCCTGCTGACACAGGAATACACCACCGTTTGCAAAATACTCTTGCTCACTTCTCTAATGCTTACACACACACACACACACACAGAGAGAGAGAGAGAGAGAGAGAGAGCAAAATCACCAAAAAAATCCTCTGAATCTCTTCCTGTAGTCAGACTTATCCATTAGAAGATTCTCCAATAACAAAAAATATTCGGTATCTGCCCCATCCTATATTTGGTTATTGAACAACACTTGAAATGTGGCTACTGCAAATGAGCAATGGAATTTATTATTTTATTTAACTTAAAACATGTTTATTAGCCCATGTGGCTAATGGCTATCATGTTAAGACTACATACTTCTACAGCCAACTATGAATTTATATGAAATTCAGAGGACAAAGAAATGTGTTAAGCAACACATGGGGTACATTCAGTACAATCTAGACTGGGAAAACTAAAAACAGAAAAAAATTTCTTTCTCAAATAATTTGCAGGAAAAGAGATGGATGAGAAATGTATAGATTTTAAAAGAGACTTAGGGAGGCTTCGGTGCCTGTAGCTCAACCAGCTATGGCACCAGCTACATACACGGGAGGTGGAGGATTCAAATCCAGCCCAGGCCCACCGAACAACAATGACAACTACAATCAAAAATAGCCGGGCATTGTGGTAGACACCTGTTGTCCCCGCTACTTGGGAGGCTGAGGCAAGAGAACTGCTTGAGCACAAGAGTTTGAGGTTGCTGTGAGCTATGATGCCACAGCACTCTACCTAGGGCAACAGCCTGAGACTCTGTCTCCAAAAACAAAAGAGCCTTAGGGAGATATCAATCCAACTCAAAGTATAAATCTCATCTGGATCTTCAAAACAAACTTCAAAAAAGGAAAGGAATGGCAAACAATATATATCATTTATAATAGAACTTGCGATGTGAACGTAGATTGTATATTTGCTATTACATATTAATTTTCAGATATGATAATGATATTATGGTTATGTTTTAGATTAAGTCCTTATCTTTAGAAATACTCATGGATGAATAAGATAGGAATAAAGTAGTGAAGATACAGATAAAGTAAGTTTGATAATGAATTAAACATTACTAAAGCTGAGTTCTAGGTAGAGTGTCAGTCATAAAATTATTGCATCTGGCTTTCCACATGTCTAAAATTGCCTTTTTAAAATTGTCCCTTTTTTTGAGACAGTATCACTTTGTTGCCCTCAGTAGAGTGCTGTGGTACCATAGCTCATAGGAACCTCAAACTCCTGGGCTCAAGTGATTCTCTTGCCTCTGCCTCCCAAGTAGCTGGGACTACAGGCACCCAGCACAACTTTTTAGAGACAGGGTCTCACTCTTGCTCAGGCTGGTCTCAAACCCATGAGCCCAGGTGATCCATCACATCGGTCTCCCAGAGTGCTAGGATTATAGGCATGAGCTACTGCATCTGGCCTACATATCTTAAATTTTTTTTTAATATTTATTTATTTATTTATTTATTTTGAGACAGAGCCTCAAGTTATCCCCCCGGGTAGAGTGATGTGGCATCACAGCTCACAGCAACCTCCAACTCCTGTGCTCAAGTGAGTCTCCTGCCTCAGCCTCCCAGGTAGCTGGGACCACAGGTGCCTGCCACAACACCTGTATTTTTTGGTTGCAGCCATCATTGTTGTTTGGCGGGCCTGGGCTGGAATTGAACCCACCACCTTAGGTGTATGTGGCTGGCGCCTTAGCCACTTGAGCCACATGCACCAAGCCCATATCTTAAATTTTATATAATTTTTTTTCTGAGGGCAGCACCCATAGCTCAGTGGGTAGGGCGCCAACCACATACACCAAGGCTGTCAGGTTCGAACCCAGCATAGGAGGCTAAAACAACAATGACAACTACAGAAGCAACAAAAAATAATAGCCGGGCATTGTGGCAGGCACCTGTAGTCCCAGCTACTCGGGAGGCTGAGGCAAGAGAATCGCTTGAGCCCAAAAGTTTGAAGTTGCTGTGAGCTGTGACACCATGGCACTCTACCCAGGGTAATAGCTTAAGACTCTCTCAAAAAAAAAAAAAAAAAAAAATCCCAATAAACTAACATGATTTTCATATGACCAAATATCACAGAATGTACAATAGGAAAAAAATTAAATGCACTATACTTACTGACTAAATAATACCAACCAACTCAGTAAAAATTTCATAATATATTAAAATTTTCAAAATGTTTTTAGAACATAAAACTTAAGCACTTACCATTGGGGTTAAATAACCGGCAGCTTTTTAGAGAGGTTTCATAACCTACTACTAATTCTTCTATGATTGCCACCTAGAGTACAAACACACAAGTACACTTAATAGGAAAAATACAGTTAGTATTTTTGTGTCAATTTCTATTAAAGGACTAAATTAAATACTCCAACATATACACACCCATTATAAATCTCTTAACCTATGGCTAAAAATTTTTAATGAATCATGTATTTATGCAAGTATATATTAAGACATAACTTTATAAAAACTTACTGGTATACTCTTTTTCCCTGCTAGAAAATACAGCATCAGCTAAACCAAAAATCAGGAGGCAAGAGTTACATCTTGATTCCTTTTTATCTCAAATCACACAAATAGCACCTACAAGTAACATTTACTTGTTAAGAATCAAGTATTAAGTGCTATGTAAAAAGAGAAAACTTATAAGCAGATACTCAACTCTCAATTTCACAACTCGGGGAAAACATTAGTAAAACTGAAGACACAAAAGACTAAGTGTAAGTGGGTTTGAGGTACAGGAGAATGAGTTGTCACTTTCCCCAAGCTGAAAATAACAAATCATATTTCATGGATGTGATTTAAGCAAGGGAAAGAAGTGAAAGAGCAATCAAAAAAGCCGACACCTCAGACCTCTCAATGAAAGACTGGCAAGTAAATGCACATTATGAGTTTCTGGTTAAAGTGTTTAGTATATTTAATTTGTCTCAATTTTCTGATTCTCTAATCACATGTCTTTGTGACAATGTGCTTACAAGAAAATTATTCTAAATTAAGATTAAAATACCCTGAAAATAAGCATTTTAAAAACTTAGTATGCGTTTTTCAGTACAGCTGAAAAACTAAGTTGACTGACTAGGATAGTATACAAACTTTTCTGATAGAACGTGACTTTTGAAGAAAGATTAGAAAAAATGTTGGAGAAACTACTTTACCAACTTTTCATAACCTACACTGAACATGAAAGAACAGGGTGACCATCAAGTTCGTGTGCAATTTAAAATAGTGTGCAACTGAAAACAGCACATGAACTTTATGGCCACACTGTATATAGTAGAAACAAAAGAAAGAAAATAAGCATCAAGTTACTGGGCTAAAAAGAGAAAGATGAAAAGAAAGAGATATTAGAAGCATTTAAAGAGCAGGCTAGGAAGTCTGACACCAAATTCACAAAACATGTACTATTATGCAAAAATAATCAACAATCAATCATTCATTCCAAATCTGGAGCAAAAAATGATAGCCAACAAAAGGCCATCATATTTTACTTTACCTTTTCTTTATCTTTATATAATGACCTCAAAGTATTGAAGACTGGTGGGCAGCCCTTGCTGAAATTCATCCTTAGGAACTTATCCAAACATTCTTTAAACTTGTCACCTTGGAAGAGAAAAATCCTGCTGGTTTACATTTACCCACTAGATTTACTGACTTATACTTACTAATACATATTTAGTAACTTAAACTCACTCGAGTTGCTGGACAATTCTAACAATGCATCTAATCTTAATACGCATACTCATATTTAAAACCAAGAAAAGAAAACTTAAGTAACTTGGTGGGGGGTAGGGGATAGAGGCAGGTCTTCCTATGGTTCCCAGGCTGGTTTTGAACTCCTAGACTCAAGTGATCCTCCTGACTCTCCTAAAGTTCTGGGATTACAGGCACCAGTGACCATGTCCTGCCTATGAAAAGAATCTTTAAACCATAATAACATTTTATTTCCTTTGCAATTATTCTTATTCTGCACTTACCAGATAAAAAGTTTAATGGCAACCTTCTTGGCACCAATCCCCTGGGATATTTAGTCCAGGCTTCCTCATAAATTTTTAGCCGTTCTAACATATTAGCTGCAAAAAATATATATATATATATATATATTATATGTAATTATAAACCGTTTATTTTTCTGAAAAATTACACATTTTTCAAATTATATAAAAATTATAATATGAAAAAAGAAAATTTATGGCTTGGCACCTATAGCTCAGCGGCTATGATGCCAGCCACATAAACCTGGCCTGGACCTGTCAAACGACAACTACCACAGAAAAATAGCCCAGTGTTGTGGCAGGCGTCTGTAGTTTCAGCTACTTGGGAGGCTGAGGCAAGAGAAATCACTTAAGCCCAAGAGTTTGAGGTTGCTGTGAGCTGTGACGCCACAGCACTCTACCAAGGGCAACATAGTAAGACTCTATCTCAAAAGAAAATTTAAAGATGAGGAAAAAAACATTTGTAATCCTACCACCCAAATACCTGGATATCAACAATCATTTTAGAATCTTTCATTACTTTTTTTTTTCTTTAGAGATAAGGTCTCTGTCACCTACAATGGAGTGCAGCATTGTAGCCTTTAACTCCTGGGCTCAAGTGACCCTTCTGCCTAAGCCTCCCAAATAGCTAGAACTACAAAGGTGAGCCACAACACTCAGTTAATTTTAACATTTTTTGTACAGATGGGTTTTCCCTATGTTGCCCAAGCTGATTTCAAACTGCTCCCACTTCCCCTAAATTACTAGCATTATAGACATGAGCCACTGCAGCCGGCCATTATTTTTCTAGACATTTCATATTCATAAAATATATAATTTTCTTTATCCTGTCTGCTTTACGCAGACTTTCAAAATCTAAGAATGCCTTTACTTTTAAGTTCTGAAAAAGTTTTAGTTACCATGTTTCCACATTTGGCTTCTCCTACTATTTTCTTTTTGTTTTTTTGGCCAGGGCTGGGCTTGAACCCACCACCTTCGGCATATGGGGCTGGCACTGCCTCCTACTGTTTTCTTTAGCTTCTTCCTTCTAATTCCTGTCTTCTGACTTATTTTGGAGCTCTTGAATTCCCCTTACATTCCTCCATATTTCTTTTACATTTTCTCTTTTATTCTCAATGCAAAAGTTGAGATCTTTCCTCAGTTTAATCTTTCACTTCACTAATTTGTCCTCAGTTGAATGGCCTCTATTTTATTCAGTCTATTGAAATCTTTATTTCAATAAGTAGGCTTTTAATTTTGCACTTTTTTTTTTTTTTTTTGCCGGGGCTAGGTTTGAACCCACCATCTCCAGTATATGGATGGGGCTGGCACCCTACTCCTTTGAGCCACAGGTACCACCCCATTTTGCATATTCTTCACTGGTACTTTTCATAACTATTCATGTTTCAGAGCTATAATTCCTTCCATCCATTTTCAGATTCTTCAATCATCTCTACTCTCCCTTTGGCAGGTGGTCATGATTAACTGGTCCTTGCTGATGTTTCTGTGACAGTTTAAAAATCTTTGTTACCGGGTGGCGCCTGTGGCTCAAAGGAGTGGGGTGCCGACCCCATGTACTGGAGATGGCAGGTTCAAACCCAAAAACCGCAAAAAAAAAAAAAAAAACCTTTGTTACCAAGTAATTTGCAGCAAGGGAGTTCTCTTGTATATATGTCAGTGGCTCACTATCAGCCTTGATGGAAACAAATCAGATCAGCTCTGCTAAGGATAGTGGCCATTTTTTACAGGCTTGCCCCAACAAGTAGACTCCATTCAAAGGAGACGGTAATGGGGGTATGAGGAGCATAGGCACACAGAAAGTCTCTGGACCCAAGTGTGACTGATGGAAATTTAACCCCTCCTCCCATAAAGGAACAGTGCTGCTCATTCAGCACGGCTATGTTCATGTGATACTGGTAGGTCACTGCTGCAGTCACAGCTTAGTGCAAAGATAATACTTGCTTCTTTCCTTTGGGGAGATATCTCCAATTCTGTCAGAGAAAATTTCCCTTTCATATTTTTGATGCTATCATGCAAGTGCAAATTTTTTCTAAAGTTGTTTCTAAAATTATTTTCTTAACCATTTCTATAAATCTATAGTAGAGAAGAGGTTGAAGAACATGCTTAATCTGCCATATTAAACAAAAGTTTGCAAATGTAATTTTGTATTCAAAGTTTGAACTAATTCTTTTTTTTTCAATACTCAAAAATCAGTAACTTTATTTTTTTTAATTAAATCATAGTTGTGTACATTGATACTTTCATGGGGTACAGTGTGTTGTTTCCATATACAATTTGAAATACTTTCATCCAAGCCTTCATGTCATTCTCATAGTTGTTATGTTAAGACATTTATATTCCACATTTAGAAAGATTCACATGTACCCTTGAACTAATTCTTAATCACTATTTTTCTAGTTGTGCTTTCAATGACTTAATAAAAAAATTTATTGACAACATTAGCAATTAAAACTTAGAAAATCACTTTTAAACACTACCTGGCTTGAGTGCTTTTTCTAAGCCTTTGTAATAGGCCCAGTTTTCAGGATTTCTCTCTTGTAATCCTCTATAAACATCCGCAGCATCTTCCAAGCGACACAGTTGCAACAGAAGTTCCCCTGGTTTAATAGGAAAAAAATTAAATATTTGAGAGTAACATTCTAATTTTAACTTTTCTCAAATTTTCTCTTAAAATCTCATTACAAATCAATGTTGGGAAGTAAATGGATCTGGTATCAATTCCCTTAAGATTAGATCAAGTTATTTTACTGTCCCCTTCATTTGTGAAGTTATATTATTTAGAAATGGCATCCTGTTCACATTGTTAATTTATTCAGGCAATTTGCCCAACCCAAGCCACTTTCACTGAACACTGTCACCAAACTACCATCTACTTAACACTTATTCTTTTTTTTTTTTTT